GATATCAATAGTTGCTGCTGATGATGACTGTGTACCCTGTGTACTCACAGTACTCACAGTACTCACAGTACTCACAGAGTGCAGTTTGATTGGACGGTGAGGGTTGTTTTTCTGTCCTTGTTTTTTTCATGACTGCGACTCGTCGTGTTTGTCTTAGACTTTTCTTTCAGCGCTCCTGTTTGTTTGTTTGTTCGTGTGTGCGTGAGGGTGTGGTCCACATCATCCCGTGTGTAACGACGGTGTGTAACCGTAGTCGTTACACATGGAGTGTATTCTGATCGTAGCAGCAGCTCCTCCTCCGCTTTGAATACCCATAAATCAATGCTGCGCTTCGGTCTGCGGCTCACGGACCGATGTCACAGTGAACGCGGCGCGGTGGCTCAGTGGCTCAGGGAGCGTACTCTGTCGTGTGCAGTGTTGTTGCAGCCATGAGGAATCGTTATCTTTTCTGCTGCCGTCTCTGCTAATCCACCGGATTATCACAGCAAAGTATAAACAAGGATTAAAAAAAAATCATTTGCAGATCTAACAGCAGCTCTGATGAGCTGCTAAATATTTTATTTTTAAAAAAAGCAGTTTTTTTGTTTCCATCAGTGGTGGTCGTCATCTTCAACCATTTCTTCTCTGCACTTTGACCTCGTGCAAAGATAAACCTCAGAGAAACTAAGATTAAGATTAAGACCCAGATTAATTAGCATTATGGATTTGACGCTTTTGATGCCGTTTAATTAGTGCGTAACGTATGAATGGATAGGATCCAGGATTAGACTGTTTGTTTGTCGAACGGCAGAGAGTTTTTTCTGCATAAGCTTTTAAACGGTGTCTGAGGTTCAGAGACTCCGCGGCGTTCAGACGGCGTTCAGACGGCGTTCAGACGCACCACACACTCAGATCAGACGAACAGAGAATATGATTCAACTTCATATCATCGTTATGATTCCAAAGCTCTTTAAAGGCTGGTAAATCACTCAAAGCTAATGGCTAATTGCTAGGCTCCGATATTAAATCTTTTTGCTGAGACACCGTTATTGTCCAAATACTTGACTGATATCAACCAATAATGACAATAATTTACTTTCACTTCAGTAGTGAAAAGCACTGTGCTGTCGCGTTTTTTTTATTATCGGAAGAAAAAAAAACGATAGCGATTCTCACCGATGTTACAGGATTATGTTAATATCGGCCAATAATATCGCTTGGACGATGCTAACAGGCTAAGAGACCAGCCTGCAGTCCAGATCGATCTTCTACCAACAATGTCAACATGACATCGTTCCTCAGCGGTCACCATGAAAGTCTCCTCTTCGTCTTCGTCTTCTCTTCGTCTCCGTCTTCCCTTGTCCAACATGTGAACCCTCTCTCTCCTGGACACATGTCCAAAGAGTTGGAGACTGGACCCAGACTCAGAGGTGGATTTTTCTCTCTGACTCTTTGGTGATGAATAACATTTATTTTCATCAAAAAACGAGGTTGAACAAATTAAATTAGAGATTAAATGTCTCTGGAATTAAAGATTACAGTGCATTACCAAATGATAGCTTTTAGATTGAATTGCTTTTTTTTTGGAGATTGTGCCAACTGGTGAATTAGGAGCAGAGTTTTTGGCGTTTTTTTTTCAGAGCTCTTTTAGAAATTATTCTCGACTTCCAGGACTTTCCAGGTTCATTTGATGTCGCTGCTCCTGCAGCTGATTTTAGAATCAAAGAAAAACAGAAAACCACACACACACACACACACACACACACACACTGCTCGGCCCCAGATGACAGTTAGAGTTTGAGACAATCCAGTGGAGAAGGTACAGCGCGACGGTGAGGAGCGGAGGAGAGCGTGACCAAAAACAGAACGTATGTTTGGATGCATTCATCACGAGCAGTGAAACGGCGGCGCAAACGTGTTCCACGTGACAGATGTAGACGAGGGCTGGGACGATCCGATACTCAGGGTCGGTATCGGTTTGATATTGGTCAAAATCTCGGGATCGAACATCGAAAAAAATAGCGTTGATCCGATACTTTCAAATTCTCAACTTAACCTTGTGCGTCATTATCGTATATAGTTTATGAATCAGTGGTAATCCAAAGTGCTTTATAATATAATAAAAAAATATTTTTGGTAGTAATTAAAAATATTCAGGGGACAAAATGAAATACATCATTACGTCACCGACGTCACCACGAACTACAACTGTTCGACT